AGAACCGGCAAGCGCCACCCTCGGGGACCCTTAGCCGCTCTACTGTACCTACACCCTACTCTCCTCTCACTCCGCACTTTTCGAGCTCCCCCGGGGGGTTGAAAAACAGGGGCGCCCCCAGAATGTCTGTATCCAGCCTAAGCACTTTGTCTCCCACCCGACCGCAGGCCAGCGCCCGAGGAGCTGACGGTGGTGCTCGGTCAAGATCGCCCATAACCAGAGCTGCGAGCAGTGCCAGACGCTGGCTGTGCGCTCCTACCGCCTTCATGAGGGCTTCTCCCCATCACCTACCAGCACGACTTGGGTGGGGTGACCCTGCAGGAATAGAGAGAAAAATGGGGAGGGTTGGGGTCCCAGGGTTGGGGCCCCAGGGTCGCCGTCTAACCCTTCCCTCTTGTGGTAGCTCTGCTGCGCCTGAAGGAAACCGAAAACAACAGCTGCGCGATCTTGTCGTCCTACATCCAGCCCGTGTGCTTGCCCATCAGCGCGGCCCCACCCTCGGAGACAGTGCTCTGCGAGGTGGCCGGCTGGGGTCACCAGTTCGAGGGTAAGCACAAGCGTTTGGAGCTGGCTGGAGATTTTTGGCTGAGTGCTCACTTTTCGTAGCCTCCGATGAGCCTGGGTACTCCGTTTCACTGACCTGACAATTTTGAAAAAAACAAAAACCCATGCAGGGGCCCTTGTCTCTGAAGCACGACTTCTCCAGAATCTAGAATTTGCTGTCGAGGTTCCCAAATCCCTTTGGGTTTGTCCTCGTTTGCTTTCTATTGTGACAATAAACACCATGGCCAAAATCAGCATAGGCGGGAAAGACTTTGTTACTTATAAGGATGCATGCAGTCACCATGGAGGGGGTAGGGGGCCCAGAGGCAGGAACTGAGGTAGAGAGCAGGAAGGGACTTGTGGCCTTGCTCTCAGCATCTTGCTTAGCTTTGTGTTTGCTGTTTGTTTGTTTTGTTTTTTTGAGTCAGGATTTCTCTGTAGCTTTGGATCCTGTCCTGAAACTAGCTCTTGTAGACCAGGCTGGCCTCGAACTCAGAGAGATCCTCCTGCCTCTGCCTCCCCAGTGCTGGGTCGACTTCCTTCTTACACAACCCAGACTCACTTGTTCAGGGGTGTCATTGCCCATAGTAGGCTGGGCTCTCTTACATCAATCGTTAATCAAGAAAATGCCCCCATAGACATTTCCAAAGGCCAATCTTAAAAAGGCATCTTCTTCATTGAGGTTCCCGGATGTCATGTGGACAAAAAAGTGACCCAGCTCAGGATTATAGAGAGAATCCAACTTTCTCTTCTCTCTGGGCTCCAAGTTACAAAGGCTTAACTAGGACTTTGTCCCCATGCTGGAGCAATGGGGACAACTATTTTGGGAGCCAGGTTCTGAGACATTGCGTGGGAGAGGGTAAGGGGTGTCTTCCTGTTCATTCTAATCTCGGCTTCTCTGTGGGCCTCAGTTTCCTTGCCTGAGAAATTGTTACCGGCAGGTCCCTACCACTCAGGCTTGCTGTGAGGGAGCCAAGTCAGGGTAGGTGTGGAACTGCCTGGTAGCCCGGCCCATGCAGCAAGCTTAGGTCCTCATTTGCAGGGGCGGAGGAATACGCCGATTTCCTGCAGGAGGCGCAGGTACCCTTCATCTCCCAGGAGCGCTGCTCCAACTCTGACGTGCATGGGGACGCCATCCTGCCCGGAATGCTTTGTGCTGGCTTCCTGGAGGGAGGCACAGACGCCTGCCAGGTCAGCCCTGGGGTCCTGGTTGGTACTTTAACCCTACCTGTCCACCACAGAACAAGAGCGATGAGCTTGCTTGTCCCCCACCCAGGGTGACTCCGGGGGTCCTCTGGTATGTGGAGAAGGGGCTGCAGAGCAACGGCTCACCCTGAGAGGTGTCGTCAGCTGGGGCTCCGGCTGTGGTGACCGCAACAAGCCCGGAGTCTACACAGACGTAGCCTACTACCTGGCTTGGATCAAGGAGCATACAGATTCCTAACTAACCAGGGTTAGTCCTTCCCGCGTGTGTGCCCCTGGAGTGTGAGGGTTGACTATGGTATGATGGACACAGTGGAGATAGTGCCCAGGTAGCATGCGCACAGAAATTCAATAAAGTGCTTTGATAATGTTCCCCAGAATTCCCTCTTGAAACGCCAAGAGAGAAAAATGGTACACCCATTTCCCTCACTGTCTGGGCAAGATTTTAGATCTCTTGTCCAGGCCACCAGGCTTTCTTGGCCTCACTTTGAGCCAATCCCTGTACAAGGAGGTGGCCCATTCTGTTTACACAGTAACAGGTTCTCAGCCTGACACCTGGGGGAGAGTCTGGAGTCAGCGTTCAAGCCCACCTGAGATCAGTAAACTGGACCCTCTAGGCAGAAGGCAGTAGCGAGATGTTTGAAAACTGCAGGTGATTCCACACACAGTCAAAGCTGAAAAGCATTGTTAGGAGTGCTCTAGATTGGGCTGGAGATATGGGTAGTGGTAGCTGAGCATGTGTGATGTCCTGGCTTAAATTCCAGCACCACCTTTTAAAAAAGGGTGTTTGTTTGTTTGTTTTTTTTTTTGAACTTTGAGCCTGGCATGGTGGTGTGAGCTGGTGGCAAGGGCTGTCTGAGGCTACGAGAGCCGGGGTGGGAGCCAGCAATTCATAAGCCTTCGGGGACACCATGACTCTTTAGGTGTGGTTAGAGGGCTCCCTTACAGGACAGGTCTAGCTGTCCAGACTAGCACCTTTCTTGCTCTTAAAAATGTCATTTATTTGTTGATTTCTGGAGACACGTCTTCCCTGTGCTGAGATGGCAGGCCTGCGCCATCTCACCTGGTTTGTGTGGTGCTGGGGGGTCCATCCCAACACTTGGTGCATCATTGGCAGGCACTCTGTCCACGTCACTCAACTGACTGAGCTACAGTCCTAGTCCTTACACCCATCTCTTTTATATGGGGGCTATTTCCCCTTTCGTTTTTGGATACAGCATCTTACTATGTAGCTCTTGGCTAACCTGGGACTTGCTATGTAGAGTAGGCTAGCCTTGAACTTACAGAGATCTATTTGCCTCTGCCTTCTGAGTTCTGGGATTAAGTGTATGCCACTATGTCTGGCCTTTTAAAAGCAAGAAAAAAATTGTGGTTTGTGTGTGTACAATGTGTTTGAGTGTGTCACAGTGTTGTGTGGTAGTCAGGACAACTCTGTGGAGTCTGTGCTCTCCTGCCTTTATGTGGGTTCCAGGGATGATGCTTAGGCCACCAGGCTCACAGGGCAAAGCACCCTTACCTTCTGAGCCATTTATATTAATAGTTTAAAAAGTTATAATTTCAAGATTGTGTGTGTGTTTCTGAGACAGGGTTTCTCTGTGTAGCCCTGACTGCCCTACAACTGGCTTTGTAGACCAGGCTGGCCTCGAACTCACAGAGAATCACCTGCCTCTGCCTCCTGAGTGTTGGGATCAGCTAATTTTAAGATTTTTAGTTAGGTGTTTGTGTGGTTCTATGACTATGAGTGCAGGTGCGCAAGGAGAGCAGAAGGGGGCAGCAGTGAGCTGCTTTACCTCTGTGCTGTGACTTGAACACTAGTCCTCCGTGTGAAAAACAGTTCCTACTAGGTGGTGGTGGCACAAGCTTTTAATCCTAGCACTCAGGCAAAATAATAATAATAATAATTGTTTTTGTTTTTTCTTTTTCAAGACAGGGTTTTTCTGTGTAGCCCTAGCCGTCCTGGAACTTGCTTTGTAGACCACCCTGGCTTTGAACTCACAGATTCGTCTGCCTCAGCCTGGGATTAAAGTGCTGGGATTAAATATGCGCACCACCGTGCCCGCCTTTTTTTTTTTTTTTTATCTTAATGTATGTCTGTGTGAGCTTGCCCAGAGAGGTCAGAGTTAAGGCCCTTGTATGTCAACAAAAAAGCAGTAAGTGCTCTTAACGCCACCCCTCCAGCCCCCCACCCATCTTCCCTTTCCTCCTACACGCTCCGTTTTGAACTGCCCCCCTCCCAACTCCACCGCCCTCACATTCTCCACCTAAAGAGATGTTCTGTGACGTTTGCCCCACGTCACAGCCCCGCCCGGCGAACTTCACGGAGTAGAGCCGGTGTTCTTAGCTCTCGGTCCTGCGGGTCACCTCCTCTAGCGCAAGCGCAAGGAATAGGGGGCGGACTCTGAGCCGAGATGGGTGACTGGAAGGGCTACATCAGCGCGGTACTACGGGACCAGCGCATCGACGATGTGGCCATCGTGGGCCACTCGGACAACCGCTGTGTGTGGGCATCACGACCCGGGGGTCTGCTGGCGGCCATCTCCCCACAGGAGGTGGGTGTGCTCACCGGGCCAGACCGGCACACCTTTCTGCAGACGGGTCTGAGCGTGGCAGGCCGCCGCTGCTGTGTTATCCGTGACTTCCTGCTGGCTGAGGGCGACGGCGTACTGGATGCACGCACCAAGGGGCTGGACGGGCGTGCAATTTGCGTGGGCCACACGCCGCGGGCACTCCTGGTGCTGATGGGCAGACGAGGCGTGCATGGAGGCATCCTTAACAAGACAGTGCACGACCTGATTGGTGGGCTGCGGGAGCAGTGCTCCTAGCTGGACCGCCAGGCCACCCGTGGTGGTAGGAGGACCAGAATAAACCTTGAACGGACAGTTGTGGGTTTATCCTCTTGGTGAATGTGCGAGGACGTGCAAACAAGGAAACTAGTTTATGGGGAGATCCTTGCAGAACAAAGTAATCCTGGTGGGCTTCCAGGTCTCCTGTGCCCTGTCCATTCCTCTTGTGGTAGATGCCTTTGGTCTGGGTGTTATGGTACTGCCCCCAGGTCCCTAAACAAGTCACAGCTGAGAAAGCATACTGGGGTAGCAGGCTCTCAGATTTTACCTCAGGCTTTACTACCATCTTCTCATGGAATTTTCCACATATGTAGGCATAAAAATGAACGAAGTCATTCCCACCCACCCCCCCTCCCCAGCACACACCAGCAGCCAAGGTCTGTGGGGTTTCAGGATGGCGTTGAGTGACCCTCAGTATGTTGGAGATTGGCCCCAGGATACCAGTGGGTACTCAAATCTTAAGATGCTCTTGTATAAAATGACAGTGTTTGCAAAGAATCTACCTATAGCCCCTGGTGTGTGATCTCCAGGTGACTTATATACCTAATACACGTAAAAGCCATGTAGTTACTGTGCTGATTGGGTAAGGAATGCTGAGTTTTAAAAAGGCCCATGTACGATCAGTAAAGACGGAACTTTAAACATTTCTCTCTCAACAGTTGGCAGAATTGGCAGAGGTAAAGCCCAGGTATACGAGGGCTAACTGTATTTCTGCCCCCTGCTTGGCACAAGTATGGGGACTAGGTGACAGGATGTAGCTGACTATTCTCAGAAAAGTTCTAGGGTCCCCAGGCGTCTGCATCCCACCACACACAGAGACCTCCGAGGTGGGTCCACTGCAGGCACATGTGTGAGCATTGTCATTGGGCATGGCCAGTCTTCCTTTTCTTCTGAGGCCCAAAGCCCCCAATAGAAAGCCTTAGCCTACAGGGAAGAAATGTGGTACCCTCACCCACTGACCCTCACTCTGCAAGCCTCACTCCAGGGCACCGGGTGGCAGCCTCCCCCGCTGACCCCCACTCTGCAAGCCTGAGCTCCAGGACCCTGCATGGAAGAGGCAGGACTGTAACGCTCAGGTCTGTTTAAGAGCTGCCTGGCTCATTCCCCAAAGGCATAGGACAGAGGTGGAGGGAGGATCTGTCCTCTGCCCTCTGTGACCAGGGCCAGACCTCGCTTGCCCACAGCTACCATCCTGCCCCGTTTTCCACTGGCCCCAGCAAGCCTCCGCTGGTCACTCACTCCGGAGCACTAATCTTAGGGAGAATGAATGTGGGATTGATGTGGGTGGGTTTACAGAAGCAGGGATACCAGAGTGTGGAGGTGCAGATTCACTTCTGGGGTGGCTCCAGACTGTAGGGAGGGACTTGTGGGAGCTTTAATTACGGATGAGGCTCAGGAAGGCAGGGCCAGTCAGACTCTAAGTGTGCAGGACTGAAGGCTGTTGGTCCAGTGAGCATTTGAAGGAGGATGGTGCTGCCGACCTCTGTCTTGACCTTCTCTTTGCTCAGATGCAAAGCAAAAGTAGTCCCAAATAACGAAAGTTTAATTCCTTTCTGGTTTTCAAAAAAGGGATCATAGCGGTGGTGCTGAAGCCCTTGGTGAGGGTGAGGAAGATGACATGGGAGAGAAGGTGGTAGAGAGGGAGGAGAATTCAGCCAGTGATTCTGACTTGCACCTGAGCACAAGTGAACAACCACATCACCACCGATCCAAAGCCACCTTTACTCATAGTCATCTGTGTACACAAGGACACAAGCTCGGGTCTTGTATCTACAAACAGCCAGACTTATGGCGAGATAGCCTGCTCCTTGTATACAGCCTCCTGTATATATACACACACACCTATTGTGTAGGCTTGTCTGTACACATACATGGGTTGACACACAATGTTCACACGTGGACTTTCCTACACTGGTGGCCACACAGACACACCATCTAACACATGAACTTGTGCACACTGCCTCTTCATTACAAAAGCCCACATTACTATGACCCTGCATCTGGACGGGTACCCAAGGGTGGTACAAAATCATGAACCTCAACTGATGTGCATCTACACACATGCGCACGCACACACCCCTGCCCTTCTGCTGCGGGCCCCATAAACACTCTGCTTCCTAGTCGGGCAGCGGTCTGGGCCCACAGCCTAGAGACGGGTGGCATTGTGGTGAGCAGGCAGTGCGAGGTGGGGGGAGGGTGTGGCAGGCGGAAGCTCCTCCAGAAAGACTCTGGGGGGAAGTTGAGGTGAACGGGGTTCAGGCCTGGCGTAGCACAAGGTGACTCGTGTGATCAGACCATCCAGGGGCTGCAAAGAGTGCATCCAGCGGGGCAGGAAGTCCCATGTCTGCAGCCACTTGGGTAGGTGCCCAGGACTTCGGTTCTGCAGGACATTAACGAGCACCACAAAGGCCAGCAGGGCCCCAAAGGGTGCACCCACACCGACCATAGCCTGCCAGCCTGCCATGGAGATGCCAAACACCAGTGAGGGCAGAAGCAGGAAGCACACGAGGAGGTAGAGGACTGCAAACCAGCGGTACTTGGCGGTGCGTTTGCCCAGCGCCTTGGCCATGCGGATGGGCAGGCGTGTGCAGGGCAGTGGGTACCACAGCAAGATGCCCGAGATGTTGAAGAAGAAGTGACAGAGGGCGATCTGCAGAGGAGAATGTAGAGGGGCGAGGTTGATAATGCGTTCCCACGGGAGCCTAGCAGGGCTGGAACAGAGGCCCCACATGCTCAGGGCAGCAGGAGGAACTCTGGAGCCGATGTGACTCCAGATCTCCAGACTGGCTATTAAAATATGTGTTGCTAAACGCTCCCCCTGTGTCCCAGTGACCGCCTCTCATGAGACCCCAGCAGCTGAGAGGCCTGCCCATCTGACACAGGGTCTCACTATATAGAATAGGCAGACTTTGAGCTTTTTGCTGTGTGTGTGTGTGTGTTTTTCCAAGTGCTGGGATTATAGGCATCTACTACCATGCCTGACTTTAGCATTAGATTAATTCCTGGCTTGCCTATTCCAGGCTTTTAATTGGTCAGCATCTTGTCAGCTGTTTTGCTTCTAGACCAATCCCTTTGCCATCTGCTTACCATCCCCAATTCAAAGCATCCTTGATTCCCCCAGATTGGGCCTGGCCTCTCTGACAGCAGCACATAGCCACATTGTGACCCTGACTGGCTGTCTAAGGATACAGTACAGCAGTGGCTCCCTATTGGACACCGAGGTCTTAAGAGAGGAGTTAAGTCAGCTTTGTCCAGAGCAATTTCCATGGAGAGGAGCGGGTCATGTTATCAGGCGATTGATGTTGCTTATACATTGTCACATCATCCACTGGGCCTGCACCCCGGCCCTCTGCCTCTACAGATGGCCCACTCTCCCCCACGTACCTGAAAGGAGCTGGATAGCTTCTCCTTGGGGCTGGCCAGTGCTGCCAGGATGGCTGTGGTGGTAGTGCCAATGTTGGAGCCCAGGGTGAGAGGGTAGGCACGCTCAATACTGATCACACCCAGGCCTGGTGGGCAGGAGAGAGTATGGCATTTCTTTCTAACTCTTCCTGAGTCACACACGCAACCCACAGCACTGCTGCCTGTTGCCAGGCATGGGCAACTCACCGATGAGTGGGGTGATGGCGGAGGTGAACACAGAACTGCTCTGGACAACAAAGGTCATGCTGGCACCCACGATCATGGCAAAGTAGCCCGTGACCCAGGTGAAGGGGGCGGGAAAGTCTGAAAGGAACCCAAATCCACAGTAAGTCATGTCAGTGAGAGGCCTTGGGAGAGCAGGCCTCCTTGCTCTTCAAGGAGGTCCTTAGGGAGGAGTTGCCCCCTGAGAATCTAGCTGGTCCCCTGCTCCTTTCTTTTGCCCAGGGAACTCTTGTGATTAACACACTTTCTTACTTGGGCTATTACACTCTTTTGTGTCTTTGCCCTAGCTATTCTCTCTGCCCATAATACTCTAATATTTAAATCCATGGGGTGTAGGCCAGGGATGCCCATGGACACCAACATCTAAGCGTGCTTCTGTAACATAGTGAGGCATTTGCCTGGGGCCAGTGTTCGTGTTGTACTGTGCTTTAAATCACATCTAATTGATTTATCATACCTAATATAGGTAAAGGTCGTGATTGCTGAGGGGCTGAGTGG